TATCATGATAGCTTTAGGAGATGAAACACCTGCAGACTGCAAAACCGATGGCCGAGATCCGTCTCCATACAATATCGGGAAACCGAGTTTCCTTGATTCCTGCCAAAATCCAACATAAAAAGATAAGAAAAGGTTTATAATGCCAACAATTTGATCAGATCAGGAACAAACAAAAAAATGTTATCTGTTTCAAACCTTTACTACAGAAGGATTCAGATCAAAACCAATGTAAGGCCATCCCACAAGATCACTGTCTACTCCTGAGACCAATGGCGTTGACAAAAAATTGGCCAGCACCTGTAAAATCATATCGACTCGATAAGAAACCAACCCACTTCGCACAACTTTTTCAGTACAATAAAAAGAAAAAATAACTTTTACCTGACCCATTTGTCCAAATCCAATGATGACAATTGATTCACTAACGTCATAGTTCACATTTTCATCTAATTTCTGCAAAAAATGTAAGATTCGTGATGAATGCTAATCCTAATTTTCATTTAAGTGCATCAGTAGAAATTTATAAGCTAAGTTACCTCTACGGTATCAAATTTCTCATCAAGGAAATCGGCAGCTCTTCTTCCGAGTTGGTTAAGCGTAGGAGTTAATGCCATAGACAAAACAACTACGATAATGAGTAGCTTGTTCAGCTCAAGTGGAAGCACTCCTAGCCTGCACATATGATTGTAACAATCACGTCCACCTAATTAATTAGGAAAATGTCGAATCTAATGAAATGTTTTGGAGATCTTCGAGCAATAATATTGGGAGTTAGTAAAAACCTGTTCGCTAGAGAGAACACAACAAATGCAAATTCCCCTCCCTGAGAAAGAAGAAAACCGATTCTTACACTTTCTTGTAATGTGAGGCCAACTCGTGGACCGAGTGCGGTTATAATCAATGTTTTGATTACAATCAGACCACCCAAAAGTGAGAGGACATTAGGCCATTCTCGAAACAGAACCTGCAAAAGATTTTAACCACATGAACATGAAATGTTTCATATGTTTCAGCGGAAACAGTTGAATCTTTACGCAATGCAATATAACAGGTTACCTCCATGTCAATGGAAGTTCCTGTGGTTACAAAGAACAAACCAAGAAGTAAACCTCTAAATGGCCTAATATCAGCTTCGATTTGTGTTCGGAAATTTGTTTCTGCTAGTAGTGCTCCAGCAAGAAAAGCTCCAAGCTTCAGAGTAAAATTGAGTTAAGAGATTAGGGTGAGGATGTTAGATGAAATTTGTATTTGAAGGGAAAATAAATCAAACCGTATCGCTGAAACCAAGCTTTTGAGTCAGAAGTGAAGTCCCAGCAACTGTGAGAAGGCAAAGAGCGACGAAAGCTTCCGAGCTTCTGGTTTCTGCAACAACCTGAATATTGTTTTGGGCTTAGTGTTAAGCACTGCACCAAATAAAACATTGTCCTGTATTCACTTAAAAAGGAGAATAAAGAAATAGGGTTTGTCAAATCATAAAGACATGAGAGCAGTTACCTCGAAAATTCTACGGAGCAAGAACTTTCCTCCAAGAGAGAGAATGCCTAACCCACCAAGAGCCTTTAAACTTTCTTTTGCAAGCATCGGCCAAATGCTTTCCCCGACAAGAGTCTTGCAAAGTTTTGGATATTCAGATATTAAGTCTTAAGGTCTAATTGCTATGGCCTCATAAAACAAATAGTCCACAGAAGTTCAAGAAGGAGACAGCTAAAGTACCTGGCTCTCCAAGACTGGAAGAACAACAAGTAACGGTACAACAGCTATATCCTGCAAACAATACGAGTAGTAGTAAGCGAACGAGTTAGTCTAGTTCAGGCATTTGCACAAGATTTCTGCGTATCTTGGGAGATTCTTTTCTCAAATCCACATTTTA